GTGTAAATAAAACAGTGGTCCCTCTCCTTGAAGTTTCATAGTTGATAATTGTATCATAGTTGATACATAGTAGTTGATACTATGAAAATTTCATAGTTGAGCTCTTTTACCATGTATGTAAATCTTAAGTGCTAGGGAATTCAGAAGTATAAGTTACAGGGTTATATCATTTGGTGCTTGAGTCCTTTCCTTTGGATAAGGTATTTCCTTGGTATAAGGTAATGTTCTTTCAAGCATTCTAAATTAAATTAAGTTGTTTTAATTTACTTATTGGGGAATATCTTGTCTTTAGTAGCTGCTATGTGGAATTACGTATTTCATGTATTCAGTGTTTTGAACTGCATCTTTTCTTGTATTTTTAGAGCTTTCTCCTTTTTGGATATTAAAACAATTTTAAGGGTTTTGGTGTATATTTTAAATTTGTTCACTAAACACTTGCAAAAGCATATTTTAAATTGTGGCAAGTTTCTTAAACCTGTTAACTTGTTATGTGTTAGCTGTTATATATTAGCTTTTTTCAAAGTCATTACATATCCTTTTACTGACAAATGTCAAGCAAGTTCTGAGCATCCGAAAGTCTAGATTCATTCGGAGCATTTGCTCAGCAAGACATTTTTTTTTGTTTTGTTTTTGAGATGGGGTTATCACTGTGTTTTCTAGGCTGGCCGTTAACTCCTTGGATCAAGCGGTCCTCCCATCTCAGCCTCGCAGGTAGTTGGGACTAGGTGCGATTGCATACCACTGTGCCAAATTTATTTTTAAAGTTTATAGGAAAAATTGTGTCTTCTAGAGACCAGTACCATGCATGAATATATTTGTCTCACGTTTATTTATTATTTTTTATTTTGAGACAGAGTCTCTCTTTGGTGCCCAGGCTGGAGTGCAGTGATGCAGTCTTGGCTCACTGCAACCGCTGCCTCCTGGGTTCAAGTTATTCTCCTGCCTCAGCCTCCCTAGTAGCTGGGATTACAGGTGCCTGCCACCATGCCCAGCTAACTTTTGTATTTTTGGTAGAGATGGGCTTTCACTACATTGACCAGGCTGGTCTCGAACTCTGACCTCAAGTGATTTGTCTGCCTCAGCCTCCTGAAGTGCTGGGATTACAGGTGTTAGCTACCATGCGTGGCTTTTCTCCCTTTTTATACCCTGAAAGCATTATTACTCTCCATTATTGTATTCAGTGCTAGGAGCTTGAGTTGCCCTACATCCACTTCCCCCTTTCCCCATTTTCAATATTGTTTCACCTTATAAAAATTAAAAATTTGGCTGATATGGTGGCTTATACCTGTAATCCCTGCACTTTGGGAGACAGAGGTGGGTGGATCACTTGAGGCCAGGAGTTCGAGACCAGCCTGGCCAACGTGGTGAAAACTCATCTCTACTAAAAACACAAAAATTGGCAGGGCATGGTAGCATGTGCCTGTAATCCCAGTACTTGGGGAGCTGAGAGAAGCAGGAGAATTGCTTAAACCCAGGAAGCGGAGGTTGCAGTGAGCTGAGATCGCGCCACTGCACTCCAGCCTGGCTTACAGAGTGAGACCTGATCACGAAAAAACAACCCCTAAGAATTATAAAATTTTTTATTGATGGATTTCTCTAAAACTCTTTACTAAAGGTACTTACTAAAGAGTAGATGTTTTCCCCCTTCAGTGATAGTTGATGGACCTTCAGAGAATCCTCGAGTATCTCAAGCTTTTACTTTAGAGTTCTTACCTGAGACAGAAAAGTTGAGTTTTCTTTCCTCAAGGGCATAAAAAATTTTAAAAGTACTCATTTGCATAATATCTACTCAAAGAAAATTATCAGGTGATTTTATCAGGTGAAATTATCAGGATATTTTTGGATGCTTGCATATAAGAGAATCTTTTAACATGATAACTACATAACCTCCTTTGTATTATTCATTCCCTTTCTTACTGAAACAAGTGAGGGGCTTGCTTGGATATGTATCTGTATCTTTTTTTGATACACACTTTGAGGGAGTCTTTTGAAATGCAATGTTTTGGTCACCATTCCAGCTCTACAGGAATATGGTTTCATGATAAAGCCAACAAAGAGCACACTGGCAGCAGTCCAGAAGCTGACTCACTAAGGAGTAATGATAGACACTTTGAAAGGAGCGACTGGTCTCAGGATCTCACATTTCAAAGCTTCATGCTATGATTACATCAGTAAAAGGCAGCCAAGAAATCAAGAAGAGATCTTGCTTGTACCTCCTAGGAGTAATGGTATATAGGTAGGAAGAACTTCCATAGTCGGATGCAAGTAAGATTTTTTTTTTCCCTAACAACCTTGTAAAACTTCGGGGTGAGGAACAAGTTGAGGATTCAGAATGGGAGTAACCATGGTGGGAACTTTCCTTCTACAGACCTGGATGAGAATAGCCTTATAATGAGTGACTTAAGGGTTAACTCAGGAAGCTCAATGCCATATCAGTTTTCTAGAGCTAAGGGAATATACATAGTAAGCACAAGTATCATGTTCATGTCAGACACTGTAGCTACTGCTTCCTACTAGAACAGACCAGAAGAAACCAAAGCAAGACCAGAATCAGTTCAGTTTTGAGGAACAGACCTTTTGCCTACTAGCATTGCACACTTCAGGAGTAAAATAGAATGAAAGTAGACTGGCTTCAGTACTCTGAAAGTGATAGTAACTCTTGATTGTTTTGGTGGATTAGAGTGACTGCAGCTCTGTTTCTAAATTGAATTTCATACCTATAAGTTGTTCTAGGTGGCAAATTAATCTTCTTTAATCAGTACCACAAATTAATTGTTGGCCCTTTGCGGAAATAGCAGGAAAATGCCTTTTTCATGGTGAAGGTTATCTGAGAGATAAAATATCTACATAATCTGAAAATATTTTCCAGAGATAAGGCTAAGTGACTATATATACCACTGTGATAGATTGACTCATTTTGATTATTGTAGAACTTCGTATTTCTCAGTAAAAAGTACTAAACATGATAACATTATGGAGGATTGCTTTTAGCCATTTGCTGTATTCTTTAAAGCACATTTAGGAATGAAAAGTTAGTTTCCAAAGTGCTATCATTCACTTAATACACGTTTTCTCCAGAATATGCTTCCGAAAAGTTAAGAGTACTTTTATTTATTTAAGAAATATGTTAATTTAAGTTTCTTTTTTTGAGACAAGTTCTCACCTTGTTGCCCAGGCTGGAGTGCAGTGGCACAGTCATGGCTTACTGCAGCTTCAACCTTCCAGGCTCCCACATTCCTCCCAGGCTCAAGCCATCTTCCCAATTTAGCCTCCACTATTCTCAGCTGATTTTTTATTTCTTGTAGAGAGTGGGTATTGCTGTATTGCCCAGGCTGGTCTAAAACTCCTGGGCTTACTGAGCCCAGCCCACAAGAAATATGTTACTTTTTTTTGAGATTTTTGTGTAATTTGAGAACACAGATTAGCTGCCCTACTCACCCACCCCCAAGGAGATAGACCTGGTTTCATAGTACTGAGAGAGAAAAAAAAATTAGCTTCTTAATTTATATTGCTTTTCTGCCTTTTTGGGATTGAATGCTTTGACTTTTCTCTTGTTTTTATATTTGCTATATATGTGTTGTTCTTACTTAATTTCTTAAATGGTTTAAACTTGCATCTGTAAATTATTTACTAGCTAGCTTTATGACCTGGGCAAGTTACCTTCTCTCTCTGCTCCTTAGTTTCCCTCTTTATAAAATGAGGATAATAATGTTACCTACCTTGTAGAGTTGTTGTAAGATTAGTGACTAATAGATGGTGAAGCACTTAAGAGTACTCTATACGTGTTGGCTGTTAAAATTATAAGCAAGGACCTGGACTTCCCCTCCATTATTTATATCTCTTCGTCTTTATAATTTTTTCATAAACAGTAAGTCTCTAAGCATGTCACAGAACTTTGTATTGAGGAATAATAAATATCACCTTGTATGTAATTCTTTATTATAAACATAAATTTGTTACTTGTTAAAAACAGAGTATCATTTTGCCTCAGATTGAGCTTACAAGAAGTTGGTAGAAAGTAGGCCCTTTTCTGTGTTTTATAGGTACCCACACACTATTGAATGTAGGTCATCGTTTAAATTAAATTCTGAATGTACATCCGAATCTAATGCAGTTATATAGAACAAAACAGCTTCTATGAGACTACAAGTGTTACTATAAAGGCAAACACTGTAGTTGGTAGCAAACTGATCAGTTGAACTAAGTGATGGATCAGCAGTTTTGAGGTTGCTGGTTTTTATTTAACAGTTGTTTCAGAATGATTATTCCTGAAACAAAGTAATTTAGAACATACATAGGTTAAGAAATTTCATATTCCTTTCCACTTTAACCTTTTGAGAAAAGAAGCATTTTTTCAAGGATAGTTAGCTCTGTGAGTGCCATATGAATTTTAGCCATTACTGTGGCGACTATATGATAACCAACAGTAGGAGTCTAACACTTTGGTTTCAGATTTGTGCTGTTGTTGAGTAAATTTTTATTTATTTATTTATTTATTTATTGCCCTTATTTTTTTATTGCATTTTAGGTTTTGGGGTACATGTGAAGAACATGCAAGATTGTTGCATAGGTACACGTGGCAGTGTGATTTGCTGCCTTCCTCCCCTTCACCTATATCTGGCATTTCTCTCCAACAAGTAAATTTTTAGAATGAGATTGCTCTCTTCTTACTAAACTGTCGTATGTATAAGCCGATTCAATTAACTTTTTTTCCCCCTGTTAAGACTTTTTTTTTTTTGAGATGGAATCTCGCTCTGTTACCAGACTGGAATGAGGTGGCGTGATCTTGGCTCATTGCAACCTCTGCCTGCTGGGTTCAAGTGATTCTCTTGCCTCAGCCTCCCGAGTAGCTGGGATTACAGGCACGTGCCCCACACCCAGCTAATTTTTTGTATTTTTAGTAGAGACGGGGTTTCCCCATGGCTTCTCAAAGTGCTGGGATTATAGGCATGAGCCACTGTGCACAGCCAATACTTTTCTTTTTCTTTCTTACATTTAGCCCGGCCTAAGAAGGCCTCAAAAATTTGGTCACCAATTCATAACTGTTAACTCTCTCCATGGAAATCTTTAATAAAAGGCAAAAAGATTTGTTATGAAGAGAAACCAGAGCATGCATGACAGGACTTTCTGTAATTGTAAGTTAGTGGTTCAGTGTCAGGGGTTAGATTTTCTTAATTTTTACATTTTGTAGGATTATTGATAATTCCTAAGTTGTATCCTTACATCATATTTTTTTGGACATTAGGGATCTACTTTCAACACTTAATTATACTTGTAAAAGGAGTAGAGCATTCTGTGGATTTCTTGTTTTTGAGATTCTGGCATTTTATTCATTAAATAAAATAAGTTTACTTGTAGAGAGTGGCAAATCATTACTTTTAGTTTATTAGTTCTCTCGGTAGGATATCCGTTTTCTGGCAGCTTAAGGGTTGAACGTGTGTACCAGGCCCAGGGAATTTTGTAACTATCCCTCTTGTACTATAGTACCGATTGGCACTACAGATTGGTAATTCAGCAGTAGGCATTTTTCATAGGTATTGGTATACAAATGACAGGAGCAAATTTTCTTCTGGACTTGTGAAGCTGAGACTGTCTGCCCCACCCCAGGCAGGAGGTCTGCCTGCAGTGGAAGAGAATGAAGCCAGAATGAGGCCAAACAAGTAAAGAGGAACATGAGATAGAGATGGATCCTATAGCACTGAACCTTTGAGGCCCTGGTCTTGAAGTTTTTTTCTTTGTTTCTATGCATCATCTCATTATCCTGTGAGCCAAAAAGTTCTGATTTTAGGGCTGGGTGTGGTGGCTCACACCTGTAATCACAGCACTTTGGAAGGCTGAGGCAAGGAGGATTGCTTGAGCCCAGAAGTTGGAAACCAGCGTAGGCAACATAGGGAGACTTGTCTGTACAAAAAATTAAAAAATTAGCCAGATGTGGAAGCACATGCCTATAGTCCCAGATACTTGGGATGCTGACGTGGGAGGATCCCTTGAGGCTGGAAGGTGAAGGTTATAGTGAGCCATGATCACACTGCTATACTCTAGCCTGGGTGACAGAGTGAGACTGTCTCAAAAAAAAAAAAAATTTTTTTTTAAATTTTGTTTAAATTAGCTTGATTTGGGTTTTTTTTTTTTTTTTTTACTTACAACTGAGAATTTTGACCAGTATATTTAATTTTAGTCTGACTATTTCTCCAGTGGGCATAGTATTTAAAAATACTTTGGACTTTAATCTCAGGGTAAATATGAATATACATAGGTACACTTAGTTTGTATATGAGATAATATTCAGAATCAGTGGAGTGAAAATAGTAACGTATCTTCCATTTATCAATGGCTTAGAGGGAAAAGTGTTTATAATGGATATAGAATGAATCAGTATTCCTTTCCCATTATTTACACTTACATAGTGTAGAAGTTTTCCTTAAAGAGCTTATCACCATAATAAGTACAATAGCAAAGATATAAAGTCAGCACTTTCACTGATTAGGCATACATATCCTCTTCATTGTTTTCTTACAAAGTAACTATAATAACCATATAAAAGGGTCAGAAAAGGGGAAAAACACTGGGTGGAAAGACAGACAAGAGGAAATGAAGAGGTGAGGTCTGTGTAGTAAGCATTAGTGAACTTGTAGTAATTGCTTTAGGTTCCATGGATTGCCCACTTGCGCAAAATGAATTGATGGTAGAGATGACAAAAAGTCTTAATTTGTGATCTTTATGCTAAGGTTAAAATTGATATGGTTAATTAGGTATTAAGACAGTTTTCTTGTCTTTTTGTTATTTATTTTATGAATGAATGAATGAAGAAATGAAAAACAAGGTCTTGCTTTGTCACCCATGCTGGAGTGTTAGTGGCATGATCATAGCTCACTGGCGTCTCAAACTCCTGGGCTCAAAGGATACTTCTGCTTCATCCTCCCAAGTAGCTGGGATTATACGTGTGTGCCACTGTGCCTGGCTAATTTTTAAATTTTTAGTAGAGACAGGGTCTTGCTATGTTGCCCAGGCTGGTCTAGAACTCCTGGGCTCAAGGGATCCTCCTAAGTCAGCCTCCCAAAGTGCTAGGATTGCAGGCATGAGCCACCAAGCCCAGCCTTGCTTTGTCTTGCTTTTTAAAAAGCTGTTGTCATTATGTTGCCTTTCAAAATCCGGTTCTTTACCACCCCAATTGCTTGGAGGTAATGCATTAGGTGAGAATGAAAGGTGAGTACCTAAAAGTTTCAGATTGGAAGTCTTTGTTTAATAGGATTAATGTGTAGGAGCTGCAGGGAATATGAAGGACTTTTAAATATTCCAGTCCCAAAATAAACTTGACCATTGGCCAAGATTGTGGTAAGCTAAGTACTTGAGATGTCTATGCTACATCATCCAACATTTGGCCCCAACTGTTTTAGCTGGCTTGGCTATGTAAATTGAAACTTCATTAAATACTTAACTGTGAGTTAAACATAGTTCTGGAGCTCCATCGAAAGGGTCTTAGTTGGCCAGGCACAGTGGCTCATACCTGTAATCTCACCATTCTGGGATGCTGAGGCGAGAGAATTGCTGGAAGCTTGGAGTTTGAGATCAGCCTGGGCAACATAGTGAGACCCCTGACTCTACCAAAAAAAAACAAACCAAAAATTATCCAGCTGTGGTGGTGCTCATCTGTAGTTCCAGCTACTCAGGAAGCTGAGGTGGGAGATTTGCTTGAGCCCAGGACATCAAGGCAACAGTGACCCATGATTGCACCACTGTACTCTATCCTGGGTAAAAGCGAGACCCTCGTCTCAAAAAAAAAAAAAAAAAAAAAGAAAAGAAAAAAAGGGTCTTAGTTACACAGATCTTCTTGGTCATCCCTAAAGCTTACATTCCAAGTTTATATTACAGTAAAGTGATCTATATCCCAAAACGTGTTTCTACTAGTTACTAATTTGGGGCAAGTCATTAACTTTTCAGAGCTCTACTATAAGATTTAGGAAAAATACTTGTCTTACCCAGAGCGTATATGTATACCTTTGATTTTTTTGCTGCCACGTGATTCAAAAAAATCAGCCTTAGAGAGGTATTATTTGCACAAAATTTGCCCTTTTTTAAGGATGTAATATAAATGAAATAATACAGGATGTACTATTTTGTGCTTCTCCTCTTTCATTTTAGCATAATACTTTGAGATTCATCCATGTTGTTAAAAGTAGTAGTTATTTCATTTAATTACTAAGTAGTAGTCCATTGAATGGATATTCCACAATTCCTTTATTGACTTGTTAATGGATATTGGGGTTGTTTCTAGTTTTGGCTTTTTTTTTGAGATGGAGTCTCACTCTATTGCCCATGCTGGAGTGCAGTGGCACGATTTTGGCTAATTGCAACCTCCGCCTCCCCGGTTCAAGTGATTCTCCTGCCTCATCCTCCTGAGTAGCTGGGACTACAGGTGCATGCCACCATGCCCGGCTAATTTTTTTGTATTTTTACTAGAGATGGGGTTTCACTGTGTTAGCCACGATGGTCTTCATCTCTTGACGCCCCCTTTTGGGCCTCCCAAAGTGCTGGGATTACAGGCGTGAGCCACCGTGCCGGCCCAGTTTTCAGCTGTTATGAACAAAGCTCCTCTAAATATTTGCAACATCGATCTTTGTATGGACATATATTTTCATTTTTCTTGGTTAAAAATTCAGGAGTCAAAATTGCAAGATTGTAGAGTAAGTCTGTTTATAGTTTTTAAAGAAACTTCCTATTTTGCATTCCTACTGGCAATGCATGAGAATTCCAGGGCTCCAAATCCTTGTTAATGTTTGTTATTGTCAGTCTTACTAACTTATATCATTCTAGTGGGTCTGTAGTGACACATCATCATGGTTTTAGTTTGTAATTTCCAGACGATTAATGATAATTATCTTTTCATGTGCTTATTTGCCGTTTATATATCTTTGGTGAAGTGTCTGTTCAGATCTTTTGCTCATTAAAAATACTAGGTTGTTTATTGTTAAATTGCAAGTTCTTTATGTATTCTGAATATGAGTCCTTTATAACAGGTTTTGAAAATTACATGTTTTGCAGATATGCTCTTGTAGTTTGTGACTTGCCTTTTCATTCTTAACTGTTTTTCAGAGAGCAAAAACAATTTTTATGTAGTCTATTTTTTTTTTCTTTTTGAGTTAATGATCTTTATAGCCTGTCTAAGGAATTGTCTCTAAACCTAAGGTCACTAATATTTTCTTAAATTTTATTCTGGAAGTTTATAGCTTTGTTCGACATTTAGGTCTATGAAACACTTCAAATTAAATAAGGAGGGAGGTAAATGTAGGCTTGTCTTTTTGTTTATACTGTGAATATCTGAGTTTTCCTTTGAGTACTGATTTAATTGCAGCTCACAAAATGACATACTGTGTACTACCATTCAGTTTGAATATTTTCTAGTTTCTCTTTTAATGTCTTTTTTGGCTTATGGATTATAAAAGTGTGATGTTTAATTTCCTGTAGATATTTTATTGTTACTAATTTAATTCCATGTGGTCAGAGAACATACTCTATAGGATTTCAGTCTTTTTCAGCCTTTCAGAATTTAAGATTTGTGGTAAGGCATATGGTCTATTGTGGTGAATGTTTTGTGTCTTTGAAAAGACAAAGATTTGGTTCTACCAGTTTTGCCTCGTTTATTTTGAAGTTGTTTTTAGATACATACATATTTAGGATTGTTATGTCTTCTCAGTAAATTCAGTCTTTCATAATGACTGGTTCCATTTTATCTTGATATTATTTGCCATCCCCTAGGCTACTTTAACATGAATATAACTGTTGTAGTTTTCTTAACATAATATTTGTATAGTATATTTTTGCCCATCCTTTCACTTTCAGTCAATCTGTGTATATATTTGCAATGCTTTTCTTACAGTTAGCATATAGTTAGGACTTGCATTTTTATTTAGGCTGACAGCCTCATTCATTCATTCATTCATTCATTTATTTATTTAGACAGAGTCTCACTCTGCCACCCAGGCTGGAATGCAGTGGCATGATCTCGCCTCACTGCAACCTCTGCCTCCAGGTGCAGGTGATTCTTCTGCCTCAGCCTCTGAGTAGCTGGGATTACAGGCGCCCTCCACCATGCCTGGCTAATTTTCGTAAAT